AAGAAATGAATCCAGCTCCTCGTGAAGGTCTCTACTGTCTAAAAGGAAGTGGATAGCTCATCAGTGAGCAGGTTTTACTTTGAGATTGTATTTTAGAAAATAAGCAATAACAATAATGGCGCACATTTCATGTGCTGAACTTCAACCAGTCAGCCAAATGGCCTACATCAGCAATTCGGCCCCAGTTTCTTGTCAACGAGCCTAATTATTTTGCACAATGTATGGCGTCATTGGGGTCATGCCCAACGACGATTATGGCCATCTATGCTTGTAGAGGCATTCTTTCCTCTCTACTCCTCCCTCCATTCCGCCTCTGTGTATCTCGATCCCTTTCAGACCAGCTCTCTCTGGACTCTGGCCGACTCGTCATCGTTGTTACCCGCTCAATCTCGTCTCCATGCTTCCTCACTCCTAAGCTTCACTTTCACCATTAGACCTTGTCTGCCCCATTGCTGTCACATAAGTCACCAGACAGGCCTAATCAACGTCACATCGACAACGTGTACGCTTATCTGAAAGGCACTAGACAATTACGGAAACCAACTCTCCGGCATACCGACCGCTAAGAGGTACTCCGGCAATACCACCCAACCTCTTGTGTGGGCCAGGCTATAGAGGCGGACACAGGCGAGCCTGGCGACAAGGGCAAATGCCTGAGGCTCGACCTCATCCGTTCCCGCCAATCCGGACGTGTTGGCAACAGCTGACGTCCATCTGTGTCGACGTCCGACCGGTTGGTTGACGGCCTAAATGGCTGCCCGACAGACCAATTGGGCCGGTCAACCAACGGCTAAGGCCAACATGCAATCAGCCGATTCGGGTTCAGGCTGATTTGCGCTATTGTTGAGTTTATTTCCATTTCGAGTGAAAGGGTTGCGTGAAGAGATTCGCAGGTCGGTTCCACCAGAAGACGACGGCGGATTCCTTTTGACCAGCTGTCGATTGGCTTTACTGGAACATTTATGATGAAGCTGTTTCCGAGGCAATCTCCTTCGATTCCGGTGAAAAGGTGCTAAGCTTTCGTCCGTCATATGAC